TATAGACCAGTGGACACTGCAATTCGATTTGGCCAAATATGCGTTTTCAGCAATTCTTCATCAGGTAAGTATTAAAATGGTCAGTTTTATGTAGTGTTTAAATGGTTCTCGTGGACAGTTGTGATTCGTGATGCAGTCAATGTCAAAACTGATGCCGGCTCAACCCGCCCGAAGTGAATGCCGTTACAAGTACAAGTAAGTAAGTTCTCGGGGTAGGGGGATGTAATCAGTCATCGCGGTGTCCTTTAGTCTCGCGCACGCTGGCGCCAGCCTGTTGAGGACGTCGGGTCCGGCGAGTAGGGAAGAGGTAGAGTGTTCTCACGGTCGGCTGGTCAGACGACGCCTGAAGACTGCGATCGCAAGCGCTTTCCCCGCGGCAAACTAACGCGCGTTCTTCACGAATTCTCCCCTCCTACGATTGGGAGGTAAAGACCAACGTCAGTTAAAGGCCAAATCCGTGTGCATTTAGTCCTTTACCTGTTCCTGTGAAGCGAGATCTATTGGCCGAACAACGCGACGTCTGGAGAAGAGGGTGCGCGAACGCATACCAGCCTGGGTCGGCAAACTAGAAAATCGATCGATTTCAAGTTCAGTCCTCGCACACTTGATCGATACGAACCACCAAGTTGACGCAAAAGAGAACTTTCAAGTCATATGCCAGGCACCGATAAACTACTCTAAGGCTTGCGCAAACGAGTGCTCGCAACAGCCGACGCAATGGCAATCCTTTTAGTAAAGTTCGCTTCCGGCTGTCAAAAGACGCTGGTAGCCGCAGTCTGCTTACTTTGGCCGACTGCACGTGTGAATACCAAGCCGCCCGAACACACACCACCAGAAACCACGCACGCTGACTGTGAGAACACACCTTTCCCTCTTCCCTGCTCGCCGGATCCAACTTCCTCAACAGGCTGGCGCCGGAATGCGTGAAACGAAGGGACACCGCGATGACTAATTATACCTTCCCCTACCCCGAGAACAATTTAAACACTACATATAACTGACCATTTTAGCCCCTGCAACTGTATTGACCTGATGGGAAATTGCTGAAAACACATGTTTGCCGAATGGACGTTTCAAACTAAACATGGGAATATTTGCAGAACTTGGACACCAAAATGACAGTTTCTGTTTTTCATGTCACCAACAACGCAAGAAAGACTGAGGATTTGAGCATAACATCTTATCAGACGTGCTATAGGCCCGAATAATTACGGCCACAGTCGGGATCATTCGAAGTTACAGAGGGGAGGGAGATAGTGTCCATCACACCCACACAATTCCAACAGACACCTTCTTTGAGCATTGCGGTAAGATAACCAGCAACATGCTCTACACGGTGTTAATCATAAAGCAGATAGAAATTGCCGACAAAGAAAAAATCAAATGGCCATTTCTGGCTTATTAACCGTCACCAGTCAGACACCCGAGGTTTGAACCCGCGACCTAGAAGTCCAACGCTTAAACCATTGAGCCACGAGCTCACTGTCTTGCCGGTTTAGATTGGGAACATCAAATTGGCTGATTAACGCCAGGGCTTTCAGTCAAGTAGAAGAGCTCTGTCTATGCCATCGCCAGTCGCCAACTGCTTGCCTCCAAGTGACACAATCCACAAATGCCCAAACAGCCTCGAAGGCGACAAACGATGAAATATGAACAAAGAGTGAGAAAAAAAGGCAGTGGTCAGCACGCACCATGTAGAAGTCCTGGAGCACGGAACGTGACTTGACAAAGGCTGAGTTGAGTTGGGTCCGCTGGTCCTCTGACAACTGGCAGACATTGGAAGCGTCGCGTGTCAGCAGAAAGAGCAGGAACAGCGCCAAGTTGAGGGTGACCACACGCACTCGACTGCCTGATCAAGGGAGGAAAAATTGGGGAAAAAAGGTTTTTGACGGTAGTGTAATCTCTTAGAGGCAAATACAGCCAGCAGAGAGGGCGTGCAGACCATTTTTAAAAGCATATTTAGCAGGAGGTCGCAACCATAGTCGATTTGGATGTTTGAAAAACCCAATATATCAACTGAACATAGGAGGGAGTCCGGTTGCGTTGTCAGTAGCCACACATCAAACGTAAAAGTTATATAGTGACCCAACCTCTCGCGACTGGCAGCGCGTGCGCACCAGTGTTTGCCGACCCCAATCCGGTGCGGCCAATCACCTTCAAGACTGACGCACACAGGACCTCAATGTTACGACTGCCGCACTTTTACATCTTTCGGAGGTTGCCCCTCTCGGATGCAGAAGCACGCTCTTCCGACTTTCTACTTTTTCCAAACTATTCTTCACTCCTTCCATCCAGAATATACTATTCCTTCCTCCTGGCGCCCCACTTCTTCGCTTCCCACACGGAGCTGGGCCTCAAGATTGAAGCAGCAAGGGTCTTCGCTGTTAACTCAGGCTCCCGCGACAGGTACATTATGCAAAGGTAATGGGGGAGTAAATGTGCTACGAAAGGGCCCCCTAGCCCCTAAGAATTATAGTTAACAAGGATCGTGCCTATTGGAAACTATATGGCGGCTCTGTCTAGCTCTACTCGGCAGCACAACTGTGGAACCCGAACCAGGGGTTGATAGAAAAGTCGGCCTTCGTATCGGCTAACAAATAGAAATTATGCATACCTTTAGGTGTGCAAATGGTGCCTAGAAAACGACGGCCTAACCTGGATGGCTACGACCAGTAGACTGCCCTTGGAATTGTGG